CGACGGAGGCCCGCCCCGCGTCGGCGCTTCCCTCCGGGGAGCGAGGCCCCGTCCCGCGGTGCGCTCGGGCAGCTGGAGTCGCCAGAGCCCAGGCCGGAGGCCCGCGTGGCCTTAGCGCTTGGCAGTTTGTTTGGTCCGAGGTTCAAGTCCTGGGTCTCCTAAGGGAGATTTTCCCCCCCTTCTGTTTTTATTTCCAGAAACGAGTCAGTGGGCGGAGCCCTCCTTCACCTTTTTACTGGCTCTGCCTGGCGGGCTGGACCAGCGCTGCGCTTCAGGTGTGTTGGCAGGTGCCCCGAATGCCCCGTTTAAACCTGTGTGCCGCTAGCCCAGGCCGGGTGCTGGGCAGCTGGAGCGGCTTCCCTTACACAGGAAGGTCGCGGGTTCGATTCCCGGCCGGGGCACATACCCAGGTTACGAGTTCGCTCCTGGTCGGTCGGGTGCCTGCTGGAGACGGCCCATGATGTTTCTCTCACATCAACGTTTCTCTCCCTCGCCCTTCCTCTCTGTAAAAAATCAATAAGAACATACCCTCAAGGGAGGATTAAAATAAATACGTGCCGCTAGTAGAAAATTAGAAGCCAGTAACCATTAAGGCTGTGATAAAGGTGCCAATTAGCATCCTTTATCAGGCCTCAAACAGTATAACGTTCATTTATTTTTAAAAATTAAGTACTATGTGAAGGGTGGATGCTATGGTAAAGGGAGAATATATCCAACCTTCAAAGAGCAGGATAAAGAATATTTTCAGTGGAACTGGTCATGATGGAAGGAAGAGGTCCCTTTTATGTTTTAGTCGCTCAGATGATGAGGGCGGAAGAACCTTTACCTGAAAGTGAAAGGATCTTGGATATGTGGGAGTTTAGAACAGCATTTGGAGGGGCCAAGTGCTTCTATTCTGTCTTAGTAGAGAATAGGATCACTAACCCAGAATGGGAACGTACTGTTCAGTATTCCTAGCAGGCATTTTTGTCAAAATTTGTGTTTTCATTATTTTTGCTGGACATTTGTTAAGAGCCCTGAGTGGTAGATGGTATACGAGATCAGAACGTGCGCTCTCTGCCCTGAGCATGTTTTGTTAAATGTTACCCTAAGTAAAATAGAGGCCTTGTAGTTACAAAGCCAGTTTAACGCATTTATCCCTGTTTTTATAGACAAAGGTGGAATTCATTTTTTTTCATGTTACAATAGAGGCGGTAAAAAGTTTTCTAAGATATTCCAGCATAGAGCAGCTATCAGGGAAGAGAGAGTTTGCCATTCTGCCTTATTAGACGTACTGTTTTCCTTCACCATCTGGCCTTAATGCTCATCTAACACTCTCTTCATCTCCAGTCACCCAGCTCCAGTGGTTCTCAATCCTGGCTGCACATTGGAGTGACAAGTAGAACTTAAAAAAATAAATAAATCCAGGGACTCCACTCATGACATACATTTGAAACAATCTCTGGGAGTCAAGTCTAGGCATGTTTTGCTTTGTTTTGTTTTAATCTCTACAGATGATTCAAATGCATAATTAGGTTTGAAAAAAACAACTTCCCTATTCCTAAGCCACTCAAACTCAAGGGAGTTCCTTGGGAGGGCCACATGATTTCATCGTTTACATAAGCTATTTCTTCAACTTGGAACACCCTTCTCTTTATATATTTATTTAACTGTTAGTTGTTCAAGACCTTTCAAGCTCAAACATAACCTTCCTTGAATTCCCATTTCCTCACCAAAAAGAATTAATTGCTGCTTCTTTCGCATTTTGTTCATACAGAAGAAGCCTTCTTGTAGATGCAGCCTGGACCCATAGCCAAGCAATAAATTGAAAAGATGGATTAAACTTGGAATTGTACACTGTAATTTATAAGGATAAACTATTTAAAAGTCAGTTAAACCAGAGTCATGAAGAAGTTTAACATAAATACCATAAATATTTTGTTTTAACCTAGAACAACTGTTTGCTGATTTCTCACTAGATTGAGAAAGTCAGGCCTTTTCACATGGCCTGCTGATTAGAGCTCTGTATTGTATCTCTTGCATAAGCTATGCCTCTAGTCTAAACCATCAGTTAAGTTATCCCAAGATTTTCTCCCTTTAAAGTAAAACAACTTAAAGACACTTGTGAAGCTGAGTACAGATGTCTCATAATCTTTCATAGTTATCTAACATTCAATCAACTCACCTTTATTGGGTCTTTCAAAAATATTAAACATCGATTTTAAAGAAACAACAAACTTTATTTCCACACTTTTTCATCGGTTTATATAACAATTAAATTGTGAAAGCACAGTGACGAGTGTCTCGTTGCTTGGCACCTGGGGCTTTCCACCCTGATGACCTTCTGTACCTGGCCCATTGTCCTTGCTCTGCTCATGCCTACCAGAGTAGGAGCAGAACTGGGCAGACTTACTAGAAAGAAACTTCCTAATCATTCAGCATTCAGCATGATATGGGAATTAGCAACTTATAATTTACAAAAGCAGTAGAATGAGTTAACTGATTAGAGAGTGTTATTAGATAGTACCTACAGTACCTCCTACATTTTAGTTATTTGACTGTGTTTGTCTCCTTCAAGAGACTTAGAGCATTTTGATGGCAGAGATAGTACCTGGCTGTTAAGGGGAACCATTAAGGAAATCTCCAGATATTTTCATAATACCATGTAAATTTTCTCATGAGAACAAGTGGAATTAAAAAAATCTGACAGTCGTTTTTAAGGCATTTACATTAAGGTTTATGAGCACTTCCAGAAAAGGACATATAATATGCAAATTTTTTTGTTACAAGCTCTGTTACTTTCCTAAGGTTGCCACAACAAATTGGATGGCTTAAAGTGACAGAAATGTATTCTCTCATAGCTATGGAGGCAGAAGTCTCAAATCAAAGTGTCAGGACTATGCTCCCTTCAAAGGTTTCTGTGCCTCTTCCAGCTTCTGGTGTCCCCATCACTTGGAGCTCTATGGCTTCATCCTTATATGGTCTACTTCCCTGTGTGTCTGAGTCTCAAATTTCCCTCTCTCTCAAGTAAGGAGGCCGGTGTGGAAATAAAGAAAGGCTAAGCCTATGAGAACAAAGGCTATTTTTTTAAAAATATATATCTTTATTGATTTTAGAAAGAGGAAGGGAGAGGGAGAGAGAGAGCGACAGAAACATCAGTGATGAGAGAGTCATTGATTGGCTGTGCCCTGCAGATCCCCTACTTGGGATGGAGCCCCCAACCCGGGAATCAAACTGCAACCTCCTGGATCATAGATCAATGCTCAACCACTGAGCCACGCCAGCAGGGCAACAAAGGCTATTTATTCAGAGCTTGCTAGAGCAAATGAGTCAGCCACTGTTACTTGTGTTGTGGCAGAGACTCAAAGGCAGGCAGAGAAGTGGGAAAGCTTTACAGTGGAAAAAGGAAAATCTCCAGGTGTGCCCCAGTTGGAGGCTCCTGGCATGGGAAAGCTATATGTGGGCTAACTAGAAGCAGGATATCCTATGTGATTGGTTAAGGATGCATATTTGTTTTTCTCAGGTTGGTCCCAAATTGAAAGTGGAGACAAAAATTAGGGAAGTTGTCAGTACTTAATCCAGCACTGGCCATTTGGGGCCAGTTGTTATAGGGGTTATTGTTTGGTTTTCCTTAATTGTTATTAGAGATAGTGGTCTAACTTCTTATAAGTCTGACTTACAGATAAACAAGGTGGCTTCTTGGGCTGGTTACTGTAGATAATAGGTAGGTGGTTGGTGGTTTCCTGGGTCGGTTGTTTCAGGTTGTGGGTCAGAGTTCTATTTTTCTTATGGTCTGGTCACTGCAAATTCAGTCTCACCCGTCATTGAATTTGGG